TTATATTTTTACTTATCAAAATATATATATATATATATATATATATATATATATATATATATATATAATTTGTTAATAGAGCCGGTTCAGTTCGGTTTTGAAGGACTTGGGACCGGAACAGAACCGTAATGCAACGGTACCACAATTTTGGAAACGGAACCGGAACCGAAGCACTGGTTCGGTTCGGTTCCTAATGGTTCTCCGGTTCCATCGTTTCTTTGTGCACCCCTACTGTTTAACCGGTCAGCGACTTCCGTCTATGATGATTGACCCCACCTTCGGTTTCAATTCCTTCGATCCGAGCGGTTTCTTTCTGGCCAGTGCCAATGAGAACATAAGCAACACCTTTTCTTCGGCAAAGTTATGTATTCTGATGCAATGATGTCATTAGTTTTAGTTGTGAGACATTTTGATTGGATTTGTAGAGAAACAGGTTGAAGGTTTTTACGCTTTTAGAGGTGAGAGAAAGAATAAAAGGGGGTGGTTGGGAGAGAGAGAGAGAGAGAGAGGGTAGGGAAGTAGTGGTGGTGGCAGAGGGTGGAGAGTGGCGTTGGTGGCAGCAAAGGGTGAAGATTGGCAGCGAGCAGTGATTAGGGTTTTGGAATGGAGGTGGGATTGTTGAGAGATCTTCTCGAGGTGATCTCATATAGGTTCTACCCAAGGTAGCATAGACACGAACATGGGTCAGAGACACGATAAGACACGGATACGTCGGCACACTAAATCGTCAAGGACATGATACGACACGGATACATCGACACACTAAATCGTAAGAAAGTAGGCACGGGTATGGCGACTTTTGACTATATATATTATGTCAATTTTATTTAAAAAAAAGTTCCAGACTTTAAAATGTGTTCATATGATTTTCAAGATCACAAGGTAGGCTACTCTACATGTGTTTGTGTATATAAGAAGTGTTAGAAATGTTGGTCAAGTGTCAGGAGACGTGTATGCAAGTGTCGGCTAAGGGGCCAAAATAATAAAATTAATTTTCAATTATGGTCACATACATAAAGTGCCTGACCGTAAAGTTTCAATGTCCACGACATGGATACAACTCATTCATAGAAGTGTTGAGACTTTCTAAGTTCTACTCGTTAACTGATTAAAAAAGGGTCAATTTCATTTTTTTAATATCAAATATTTTTTTTTAAGACACGGGTTGGATTTTTGTTGGGCCACGCCACTTGTGAGGAAAATTTTCATCCTCATAGGGGAGGACCCAAGTATTGTCCATAGGTTTATAAGCTATTGTATGTGTTGTGGATTATATATGCACACACAAATATATACCAAAATAAACATTTTCCCCCTAGTTTACCAAAATTAACATTACATTTGGTTATCTCTCTCTCTCTCTCTCTCTATATATATATATATATATAATTTGTATTATAATTAAAAGAGAGAAAATAGAGGAGGTGGTGGCAGTGGAGAGGTGAAGAAGAGAGAACATAAGAGGTGTTGGTGGTTGAGTGCAAGAGATGGTGTGACACATACAATAGTTGTATTAGAGATGGGGTAGTTTGGTAATTTTACCACTACTGTATGACGATTGGTAATTCTGAGCAAGAGATGGTGTCAGTGACACATAAAATAGTTGTATAAGAGAGTTGATCAATAAATAAATGGGTTAATTTCAGTGACACTCCCTCAGGTTTAGCCAAATATCACCTTGAAACATCTTTTGAAAATTACTATTATTCACACCCAAAACGTTGCTCAGTCTTTCACTCACACTCCAACCGTCACTTGCAAAGCTCTGACATGATACAAAATGACTTAAATACCCTTTGACTTATCAAAGAGCTCTTTTAACCTAAATAATTAGATTAAAAGTCTAAAATACCCTAAATACTTTGCAAATCTACAATTTTATTTTACACGTATATATACTATATTCATATATATATATATACTATATTCATTCATCGCAAGAGAAGCATCACCGTCGGAGATGACGAAGTTTCCCAATCATACTCGGACAAAACAAGCCTCAAAACAGCAATTAAATATAAGGATTTTGTTATTCTACACAATCTGAATCTGATGGTGAAATTTATTTTTATCTGAGATTTGTGAATTATGAGTGTGTATACAAATATTTAGACTCCATGACCACCGGCGAGAATCTCTGAGCCTCAGGCAACCTCTAACTGTAAGGAGCTTTCAAGGAAGAATTCAGCAAAGGCAACGAGTGTAGTTGCAGCTTCCGGTGATGCGACTATTGTTGTTGTTGGGGTTCTTGGTTTAGGTTTTGAAGGTAAGGGTGAGATGGGTAGAGGGTTTGGGCTTACAATGGGTTGTGTGCAACGGAAAACATGATAAATTGGAGTGGTTAAGTGGGATGGTGTCTAGTAATTAATGAGGGGTTCGCTATCACCACCGCCGACGACTTTAGCAAGGCCTTGAACCTCCTGCAGTCTTGCATCGTCCGCCTCAATTGGGTCCACCCTGTCTACGACTCCGGAGAAGTTGGAACAGACTTCTCTCTCTCTCTCTCCAAGTGCCTAGAATGACCCCATTCTCTCTTGTGTTTGGTCCTACATCGCTTCACTCCAAATGGGTCATCTCTGAAACTGCATCGACGCACAAACGAGCAGGTTCGTTTCACCTTTTGGTATGACTAAAGCTTTCTGGCCGTTTTCTTGTTCAGAACTTCCTGCCAATGTTTATATAGTTTTGTGGGAGGAGAGGATGCCATATATATATTTATATAAGACAACAAGTCTTGAATTGACCCAGCAGAAACTATAGTGAGCAAAATATTACAACCAATAGACATATTGTTGCTCATGAATTTCCTGGATGTTTGATCAGAGAAGTGAGAAAAGAATTGTTGCAACAAAAAGAGTGTAGCTGCTATTCAAAGACCCATTTGTACAATTCTGAGAATAAATAAATCATTGACTGCCAAATCACAGAGAAAGAGAGGATGTGATGCCCTGCAATCAGGGCATCAATGTTAGTGGTGTGTTGGGGTTTCAAAGTTGCAATCATTTTCAAAGTCAGGTGAAGAGAGAGAGAGAGAGTGAAAATTGAGGGTATTTAAGTCTTTTTAACTATTTGATATTTTGGAATAAAAAGAATTAAAAAAATAAGGGTAAAATTGTCATTTTATACGTTTTTAACCATAAATAAATAAATGGAAATAAAAAAAAGTTCAGACTACTTTTATTAATGATACCGTAGAATCCCAAGTAAAATATCAGAAAACAAGGCAACTTGCCTAGAATGTCATATATATTTGTCAATATGTGTAGTTCTTTCAGTTTCTCATTACAATTCTTTTATATTCATGTCAGGGAAGTTCAATTAAAAAAATTAACCAACATTGCATTTATTTATGTTTCTTCATTTCATTATTATTAATTAAAAGTTTTCAACTTACCTCATGGATTCTAACTCTACAGGCATGAGTCAAAATGTATCGTGCAAATAGTTGAAGAGTTTTTCAATAAACTGAATAATACTTCTCCACTTGTTGCCCAAGATCTAGTTGGAACAGAGTCTCGTGTGGAGAAACTGGAATCATTGTTGTGTGAAAGGTTGGATGAGGTTCGTTTTATAGGAATATGGGGAATGGGGGGAATAGGAAAAACAACTACTGCCAAAGCTGTTTATGACCGGATCCATCATCAGTTTGAGGGTAGCTGCTTTCTCACTAATGTAAGAGAAGTCTCAGACAGACTAGGCCTGGAAGCTTTACAAAAACATCTCCTATCTGAAATCCTTATAGGGAGTAATATAAAGATAACAGACACTGTTAGAGGAGCAAACATAATAAAATCCAGACTAAGTTTTAAAAGGGTTTTTATCGTTCTTGATGATGTGGATAAACAGAAGCAACTAGATGCAATAGCTGGAGCGCATGGTTGGTTTGGCGTTGGGAGTAGAATCATCATAACGACAAGAGATAAACATTTGCTAACTGCTCATGGAGTAAATGAATGTAACACAGTTGGGGCATTGAATAAAGATGAAGCTATCCAGCTCCTTTCTTGGAAAGCCTTCAAACAAAGTTTTCCTTCTGAAGGTTATTTGGAGCTGTCAAACCAGATAGTAGATTATGCCGGTGGTCTTCCATTAGCTCTTAAAATTTTGGGTTCTTTTCTATATGGTAGAACAACAGATGAATGGAAAAGTACATTGATTAAGCTGCACAGAATTCCTAACAATGAAATTCTTCAAGTGCTTAAAATCAGTTTCGACGGACTGGATGAAATGGAGAAAGAAATTTTCCTCGACATTGCATGTTTCTTCAAAGGGAAGCACCAGTGTTATGCAAGAAGAATACTCGACAGTTGCGGCTTCTGCCCTGGGATTGGAATACCTGTTCTTATTGAAAAGTCTCTCATAACTATTTCAAAAGATCAGTTTTGGATGCATGATTTGATACAAGACATGGGTTGCTATATTGTTCGTCAAGAATCTCAAGAGTCTAGAAAACGTAGCAGATTGTGGCTTCGAGAGGATGTTTGTTATGTGTTGACAGAAAATACGGTAAGATAGCTTGTGAAAAATCAGTCATTTTACTAACAGACATTTTATTAAAGAAGCCACATTTTGTAATCCTAACAGACATTGAATATTTACCTTTTTACTTGTGCTCTCTGTTGTTAGGGGACAGAAAAAATTGAAGCCATATGCTTGGAACTGCCTGAACCAAAAGTTTTTGACCTTAATTCTGAAGCCTTCACAAAGATGAAGAAACTAAGGCTATTCAAAGTCCACAATGTGGTGTTCAGTAAAGGCCCTGCATATCTTCCAAATGAGTTGCGGTTGCTTGGTTGGCATGCATACCCTTCAGACTGTCTGCCAGCAAGTTTTCAGGCAGAGAATCTTGTTGAACTGAGCATGTGTTATAGCAGCATTAAACAACTTTGGAAGAAAATAATGGTATGTTTAATATTATATATTTTTTAACTTTATTGAATATACTTTTCGTGTTCATGGGAGCCAGTTATTCTAATACTTTCCATTTGTTTCAACAGCCTATGGCCAAGTTGAAAGTCATCAATCTTAGTCACTCCCATACGCTATCCAGGACCCCAGACTTCACAGTTATTCGGAATCTGGAAACACTAATTCTTGAGGATTGTTCGAGTTTGGTAGAGGTTCACCCATCCGTTGGAGTTCTCAAAAGGCTTGTTGTTCTAAGTTTGAAAGACTGCAAAAATCTGAAGAGATTTCCAAATGGTATTCACTTGGAATCCCTAGAGACTTATATTCTATCAGGCTGCTTGAAATTAGAAAAGTGCCCAGAAATCTTGGGGGATATGGTATGTCTATCAGAACTTTATTTGGATAGGACATCCATAAAAGAACTGCCCTCGTCAATTGAACATTTGGCTAGCCTTACTTTGATGGATTTGAGTGAATGCAAATACCTTACGAGTCTTCCAAGAACCATTTGTAGGTTGAGTTGTCTAAAAACACTGTGTGTGTCTGGCTGCTCAAAACTTGAGGAATTGCCAGAGGACCTGGGAAATATAAAATGTTTGGAGGAGCTTCGTGCAAATAATACTGCTATCAAACAACTACCATCCTCCATTAATCATTTGGAAGGCCTCAAAGTCTTAACCCTTGGCGGATGCAAGGGTACAATAATATCTCAATCATTTTTTTCATCTTGGTTTTTACAAAGGAAATGGGAAGATTCTGTGTGTTTGGTGCTTCCTTCGTTAGCAGGTTTGAATTCCTTAACAAAACTTGATCTTAGTGATTGCAATTTGTCTGAAGGAGGGATCCCCAGTGACCTTGGCAGCTTATCCTCTTTGAAAGTGTTGAATTTAAGCAGAAACAGCTTTGTTAGTTTACCTGCAACCATCTCCCATCTTTCTCAACTTGTATCCCTCAAGTTAGTTGGGTGCAAGAGGCCAGAAGCATTACCAGAGCTTCTATCTTCTATTATTATATTACTTGCAGATGATTGCCCATCATTAATAAGCTTTGGAGATCTGTCTACAAATAATATATCACTGGATATGGTATCCACATTCTCTAATTGCTTTAAATGGAGTGAAAATGTGGTTGATATGTAGATGGGATTTCTGTTTAAGGTTACTCTCTCTCCCTCTTTCTATATATATATATATATATATATATATATATATATATATATATATATATATATATGTGCACATGTATGTAGTATGAATATGAATGACATATTGTTTTCTTGGTACAGAGATCCCGTGTTGTAAATTATACTTTGACTATTATTTTACCCGGAAGAGAGATTCCCGAATGATTCAGCCAACAGAATTTGGGTACTTCAACATATGTGCAACTGCCTCCAGATTGGTGTGAGGAGAGATATATGGGGATTGCTGTGTGTGGTGTTTATAACTTCGCAACTGCAAACTCACGTTTGAAAATGTGTTTCCATTTAGTAGACCATAATGATAAACAATGTAGTCACTTCTGGATTCCCAGTGGTACGATCGTTGGCTCCAAACACAAACATATCATGCTCCAAACTCGGATGGTGCATTGGAATAAAAACAAGCACCAACTTGGGGTTTCCTTTGAATTTGTTGATCTGAAAAATGGCTTATGGAGGTTGCCGGCGAAGAAGTGGGGAGTCCTTATAGTGTGTGAGAAAGATGTGAAAAATTGGAAGTAGCAGTGGAAGACAAAAATAATTGTGTCAAGAGAGAGCATGTATTCTGAGATGGCACCACAGTTGTCAAAAAATCTCTTTCAAGCCATTTTCACATTTTGAGTGTCCCATAGTATAATTTCTCTCTTTTTAGAATAAACTTTGGCCGCATGTGAACTTTCTAATCCACGGCTGTTTTCTTGATAATGGTAGAGAAATCTCGTAAAAAAAAAAAAATTATGAAAGGTATAAAAGGTTTTAAAAAAAAACTCATGTCTGCTATCTTAATAGAAAGTTGACACTCAGTCAAGAGGGTTTAAATTGACATTCTTAGTCAAATTAACATTTTTTCCTAAAAATCAAAATTATACTTTTTTTCACCCACTAACATTTGATTGTCGGAACAAATTTGCACCGAAAAAGTATTGAATTGGTATTTGAGTTGGTATTTGAGTCATAAATTCATCCCACATTCTCAATTTCCAATACCGTTTCATAAACAAAATGTGTGCAATCAATTTTTGAGTCAATGATTCATCAAAGACCTTTTTTTAGTGTGTACTCCTTCGGTTCTATAATTTAACTTTAGGCAAACTACAATGACCTCCCTGAGGTTTGGACTAATTGCAACTAAACCTGAGGTTTGCCATTTTGTTACTGGGACCCCCCATGTCAGATTTTACAGTAAATTTACATGTCTACCCTCATTATTATATTATTAAAAAATTAAAATACCTAAAAATAACAAATGATTTTTTTACCTAATAACATTTATCCTCGTCTTCTCTCTCGTCTCCACCAATTACTCTACCCAGGCCACTTCTACCATTCACCATCACCACCCACAGTGCCACCATCACCACCAAAGTGGGTATAGCAAGTGACATACAAGTTATATGCGCGCGTGTGTGTGTATATATATATATATACCACCACCACCAAGCACCATCACTTCACCACCCCTACCAAGCACCATCTCCTCTTTTTCTTCTTCAAAACTGAAACCCATCTCCAATATTCAATGTCAAGTCTATCTCCTCAGCCAGCGGTTCCGTATTATACAACAATGCTTTGAATGTAAGCATGTTGGTTAGATCGAATTGAAGGCAAGCTAATTGCCCAAGGGCAAGGTTTAGATGCTCTATTGATTCCAGCGAAACAAAGAAGAAAATAGAGCTCAACCCAAACCGTGACGAAGAAGATCATGCTGAAACTCCATTGATTCAGGCGAACTCGAGTGACGAAGAAGGAATTTGAATGAATCGGTGATGGCGGTGGTGGTGGTGTTGGGTTTGATTAGAGCTCTGCAATCGGTATCGCGATTGTGGTAATATTGGGTTTCGATTACAATCGATGATGGCGGTGGTGGATCAATGAGGGCTTTGCAACCGTGCCACCACAAATTCCTCAAGCGGGTGGTGCAACAGTGGTGACGGACCGGCGAGGATGAGGATGGGCTCGGCTATAGTGGCTCAGATATATGTTTCGGCCGTAATGGACGGTGGGCGGTGGTGACAAACTAATTTTTTGATCAAAAATATTATTTTTTGTACGGAGGGGAGGTCATTGCAAAATGGAGAAAACTTCAGGAAGGGTCACATTGCAACAAAATGATAAACCTCAGGTTTAGTTGCAATTAGTCCAAACTTTAAGGGAGGTCATTGTAGTTTGCCCTTTTAAAAGAAAATATAATTAATGCATTATTTCTTTTTAAAATCACTATGTTATCCTTTTAAATTTAAAAGTGAATGTAATTAAGTTGTGAGATATCTGAAAATTCAAAGGGTAATTATGAAAAAATAGATTTTTTTTTTTTTTTTTTTTCGCTGTGTATACATAATACGTGTCCATGCGTGCACATCACAAATGGCTTGTCGGTGTACTTCTTCACTTTATATTAGTGTGTATTTAGCGTAAATAGGAAGTAGTTTTCTATTATACAAAATGATTTAATGATTATTAAATATAAAATAAAGGTTAAAGTGAAAAAAAATTCCTAATCTATGTTTAAATTTGCAAATAACCTCCAAAACTATATTTTGTGCATAATAGTGCAAAAATCCCTAAACTTTGTTTGAATTTGCGAATTACCCCCTAAACTATATTTTGTGCATAACATTTCCTAAACTATCTATATTTCATTAAATGATCATAATGTCCATTCTTATTGAATTACACTTAATCTATTTTTCTTATTGAAATAAATTATGAAAAAAAGAAAATATACTAATTTGATGACATATTCTCCATTAATTTTTTAATTTTTCATGAATATATTAAATGAAAAAGAAATAATTTTTTATTTAGGTAATTTATTAATTTTTCATCAATATATTATATATTGTACGAAAAAGAAGATATTTTCCTATGGTAAAAAAAAATATAAATTGGTTATAATAAGTTTTATTATAAATAATAAAATTTTAATATTAAGTTAATCATTTTAAAAAATGCTACGTACAAATTTATTTAGTACTCCGTATCTTTTTTTTTTTTCACTTTATTATAAATTGATATTAATAATAAAATTAAGTTAAATAATATAATTATAATTTAGATAAGAGAAAAAATAATAAAAATAATTTAATAAAAATAATAGAATAGTCCTTTGTAATGCTTGATGGAGGAGAAGACTTTTCATCATGCGTTTTTCTTTTTCCTGACCAAAAGTTTGATGGAGGAGAAGACTTTTCATTTTTAATGGATAGTTCCGCATCACTTTCCACCGACATTTCATTTCTTTCACACCCCCCAAAATCAAAAAAGAGAGCGAAATTGCTTATATCTAACACGCAATATATACAGAAAGTGAAGTTCGAAGTGTTCCTTCTACCCTTCAAATCCTTCACACAATCCACAAGTTTGTTTGGTTCCCAATGGCTTCCACCAGCACACACACAGTGTCTTCCTCTTCAAACCCTAACCCTAAATGGAATTACGAGGTATTCTTGAGCTTCAGAGGTGAAGACACTCGCAAGAGCTTTGTAGACCATCTGTTCACTGCTTTGTCTCAGAAAGGAATCTACACCTTCAAAGACGACGAGCAACTCAAGAGAGGAGAAGAAATTTCACCAGCACTACTCAAAGCGATCGAAGAATCTAGATTCGCTCTCATTGTTTTCTCCAGAAACTATGCTTCCTCCAAGTGGTGTTTGGATGAACTCGTCAAAATCGTTGAATGCAAGAAGACGATGGGGTAAACAGTGGTACCAGTGTTCTATGATGTGGATCCTTCGGAAGTGCGGAAACAAACAGGGAGCTTTGGATCAGCCTTTGAAATTCATGAGAAAGTTTTCAGTGGGAACATGGAGAAAGTGCAGAGATGGAAGAGTGCTCTGGTGGATGCAGCAAATATAAGCGGATATAGTGTTCCGGATACAGCAAACGGGTAATTACCACAATACTCGCATTTTGAATATATCGTGTATTGGATGATTGAAAATGAAAAATACAATTTTGAATATTTATTTTTTAAATGAAGTTCAGAAAAGAGGCATTTTTTAATTAACAGTCTTTAATAACTCTATCAGAACTCAAATTTTGATTTTATATATATATATATATATATATATATATATATATATATATATTCCTGAATTACTGGGGATTCATATTCACACACATGACTATATACACTTACATCTAACGCCTGTTCAAATTTGGGATTGTTCAGCCCTAGTTTAAACATGAAATGACCAATAATACCCTTTATGAAATGACCATTTAAGCCCTAGTTTGAATCCCAAATAATACCAATACTAAAGGTTGAATGCCTCTGACCATATTGTAAATAAGGTTAAGTTTGGTATTGTCAATTTAAATATAGTTTGAATCTTAGAATTTGGCTCTTAAAGAAGACAGCGCTTGTTCGTGGGTCTTCTTCATTGTGGATATTTCAATTACCAGGCAGGAGAGAGAGAGAGAGATTGTTCATGGGTCTTCTTCAAGTGGGTATTCTGATTACATAAATATGAAATACTATATGTATTGTGGCTTGTATTTATGCAATACTATATATATTTACATATGTACCATAATTAACATTGCATTTTGATTTTTATATATACACACACACGTGTATTGTGTAATATATATATATATGTATTTATATATGTATGTATTATAATTAAAAGAGAGAAAATAGAGGTGGTGGCGGCAATGGAGAGGTGAAGAAGAGAGAACATAGGAGGTGGTGGTGGTTGAGTGCAAGAGATGGTGTAACTGAGCCAGGGCAATTTTGTCTTTTTAAAATTTTGAGTTGCTTATGTCACAGCATGACAGTAGAATGGTTATATTAGAGATGGGGTAGTTTGCTGATTTTACAGCTACCGTTCACAAATCTGACAACTTGTAACTCAGATGGGTGTGTCGCAGTTATATTTTAAAAAGTTTAAGCCAGGTAATAAAGACAGACCTCAGGAGTGGTGTTGAAGGTGGTTC